TTTTTTTTTTTTTTTTGTGTCTGTTACCACTTTTTCTCAGCTCTCACTGAACGGATTTCTTTCAACGATACGTCAAAAGATCACAAATCGTATATAGTTGGAGACATTACCCTTCAAAATTGAAAAAATTTCCCTCGTTCCCCGTAAATGGGGGAAACCTCCAAAAAAATTACAAATGTAAAAATCGCTAATTTTCGAAATTTTTTCAATTTTTTTTACTTAAAATTGCTATAACTTTTTTAAAAATAACCAAATCAATATAATTTTTTTTAAATAGATGCATGATACCATTACCTTTCATTTGGTATGTTTTTTTTTATATGTGACCCTTACTTGCCCACAGGGGGGGATTTAAAATGACAAATTTTTCACAAAAAATTAATTTTTTCAACTTGATTTTTAAAAATGTTCCGGAAGGTCTGACACTTTTATATATATCTTAAATTAAAGCTAATGTAATATACTATATCTTGAAAAAAAAAAATTTCGGACTTTATTTTATCTTCATGGTGAAAATGGCTACCGAATGCTATTTTTGTGTGAAAATTTTCGATTTTGTATTTTACATTTTTAACTCTATTATGCTATAACTTTTTAATTTAGCTTTAATATCTTCTTAGTTTTTAGGTATAATGTGGAAATTATACGATCCAATACCATTGTGTGTCGCAGGGAAGTTCTTTAGTAAAGTCTCAAGTATTTTTTCTGATGCTAAAAATGTCTGCAGATTTGTGCTGTATGGAAAACCAAGTTCTATACATTGATTGCCGTTTGAAATTTGTTGAATGTAATATCTTCTTATTTTTTCCAATGACTCTAAAGTTATGTTTATTTCAGAATTTTGATCTTTATCGCTTAATATTTGATGATCACGATTACAATCTATGATAACAAGAGTAGCATTTAATATTCTCAATGCTTTTTCAACAAAATTTACAAGCGCTATAGAATCCTTATCATTACTCAAAATTAATGCATCGTAGCCGTAAATAGTTATTAATAAAATATACTTAGCCGTACGAAAAACCATTTGATCTTTCGTTATAAAATAATTATTTGATTTCTGAATATAATTCCATAATTTAAATCCTTTCAATTTATCCAAACGCTTAGCATTCAAATCATTATACTCTATTTCATTGGCAGCAGTGTAATTGCTTGTTTCATTAATTATTTCAATAATTATTGCAATGATTGGTATGAAAAAAATTTTCATCAACATTTTTAATTTAATTTAATATCGATTAAATTTGGTTATCAACTAACTAAGCGCAAAATTTAATAGTTTACTAGTTAAACTACTGTAGTTAAATTTACTAAATATTTATATTGTATGAAATTTTTTTTTTTTTTTTTAGCTTTTAATACAAAGTATTATTATAGCTTATCAATTAAATAAAATGAGAAAAGGAAAAAAAAAATAATAATAATAATAATAATAAAAATATTATAATTGATCTTACATCAACAAAATTACAATAAAATTTCAGTAAACATCGTTAAATAAAAAAACCAGCTGAATGAATGAAAGAAATAACTAAAGATGTTACATCGAGAGAAGTTGAGTTAAGAATAGTGTAACAATTAATAGGAGAGATATTAAGATGAGATAAATTATTAAATAAAATATAACGATTACTTTCAAATGCACAGCAGTCAAAAATTATACAAGGAAAATCGCAGAGAACTTCATCGTCATGTTTGGGGCAGAAAGGAGAATTGCTAAAGGACATTTTGTACGCATGAAAAGGAAGGCGATTATGACCAAGTCTTAGTCGAGAAAAAGATAATATAAAGAACCGGGAGAGAGGAAGTTTATGGAACCAAGGATGATTTGGAATAGTTGGTGAAATTGATTTGTGCCAAGCTGCGATGCGAGAGACAGGAGAAGACCAATAATCTTGCCATGCTAGAAATATCGTCTTATTAAGGGATGAAACGAAGTTGGATGATGGAATATTGAGGGTTGGACGACGGGTAATGAATTTGGTAAGTTTGGCTAAATGGTCAGCCTCCTCATTACCAAAAATACCCACATGACTAGGACACCATAAAAATTCGATTTTTGTATTAGCTAAGAAAATTAGCTAATGAAATTTACTTAGTATTTTGTTTACTTAAATTTTTTAGTATTAAAATAAAAAATGTGTTTTTTGATATTTACTTTTTTTGATAAAATATACCTTGCAAATTTTAATACTTTTTAAGTTCCTTGTAAGGGTATCAACTTTGTTTTTTTAAATGGGAACACATATTTTAAATTTAATAAAATGTTTGAGTTTTTAATTTAATAGTAAATGGCATTTGAATATTTAATATAACTTTATTCGTTTATTAGAAATAAACATTTAAAGTTTCAAATTTTTAAGTTCATATACATATATAGTACACAAGGTATTACAAATACAGGTAGCTAATTAGTTTTTATGACATTAATATTTGCAGGTACACTACATTATTATTATCAATGGTAGTTAGGCACATTGATGTGAGTTCATAAACACACTAACTGATAATATAAAAAGTATATCTATTGATAGTCATAATTGATGATAAACTATCCGGGACTGTGACAGCGATGTTATAAAAAACCAATTAGCTACCTGTATTTGTAATACCTTGTGTTTTATACATGTAATAAGTCAAAAACTTGAAACTTTAAATGTTTATTTTTAATAAACGAATGAAGTTATATTAAAAATTCAAATGCCATTTACTATTAAATTAAAAAATTAAACATTTTATTAAATTCAAAATGTACTTTCCTATTAAAAAAACAAAGTTGTCACCCTTATAAGGCATAAGGGATGAACTTAAAAAGTATTACATAGTTAATATTTTAATAATAATGTTTAATTAAAGATAATAAAAAAAAAAAACATTTTAATTATTATTATTCTGTTAGTAATTGAGTGGGTTATGATAACAAAAATCAACCTGTATATTACTATAATAGAAATGTATTTTCTTCATATTAAAATTATAAAATGTATTACTGTATAATTGCAATATAACATCTCATATTAGTCATTTTATAAATTTGTATAAATAAAAAAAAACTATTAACTATAGTTATCCTGAATTCTAGTACAGTTGTTTATTAGGTATATCCAAATGAGACAATCAATTTTGTCTCATTTTACTATGATGATACATATAATAGACGAAAACGTCTAGACGAATAGTTGAACAAAATAAGTAAAGTTATTAACAATATAAATAAGATTAAAATGATTGTATCAAAAACTATATATTTTGTTAATTCGACGTTCTATAGACAAGTAGAATTGCCACATCAGCATCTCTCTTTATATTTTATTACAAATTAAGTAAATGAAAATACAACGTGTATAATATAAGTGTTACGAACATAGTAATTAATGTTCTTATGAGACTCAATACATATTTACTACTTAATTATTCGAAAATTCTATGATAATTTCTCCTCATAATAATAAACCTTTGTGTTTTTAAAGTTTAAAACAAAGTCATATCAAAATATTATATACCCAAGCAGAAATTTACTTAGGTGCAATACTGATATTTTATACTGCTACTGTACTGACATGACTCATTAATGATAACGTTCTTTTGTACTGACAAAAGTTACTGAGTGTCAGTAACGATTCTAAGTTGGCTTAATAATGGTACACAACTGGTTAAGTAGATGCCTAATAATAGCTTAGTACTGATTTTACTGTCATAACTTTTTCAAAAAAGACAAAATCAATGTAATATTTTTTGTGAATGATGCTTTACTTATCATTTGGTATATATTTTTATAAATCTGACCCTTTACCTGTCCACGGGGAGGAATAAAAATGGCAACTTTTTCACAAAATATTAACTTTATCAACTTAATGTTTGAATGTATTCCGAAAATACTTACACACATATATTGTTCGGTCGTGACGAAACAGTTTGGTGGGTGAGCGCCGGTTTTCATCTCTTCAACAAGAGCGCGACATGCCACAACTGGTTTATCTGTTGGGGTAGTGTGTGGCAGTGGTCGTGAAGGATTAATTCGCGCTCAATTAGTCGGCTGTTTCGGTTATATCGACGCCAGGTTTTTTTGGGTCGAGTATTGCCTTGTCGCCACAGTGTTCAATTTAAGTTGCTCAACGGCTTATTATATGTTACGGTGTTTTTTTTGTTGCTTACAATGTTCATCACCTTCAAATGGCAGTGGGTAATTACTAAGAATTTTTTATTGTTTATTTAACGGATTTACAGTCCACATAAGATAGATATGTATTAGTTATAAAAAGGGGATATATGTTATTTATTTTATTAGTAATTTGTGCTAATTTCATTTATCATTGGCTCTTGTTGTTTGTTATTTTTTTATAATAACTGAAAATATCATATTGTGATTATTGTACATGTTGTGTTTCTGTCTATCTAGTATATTGTAAGGCTCAATTTCCACATTTTTATATTCTCCTTTCCTTCCGCTAAGGCATGGCCAAAATACGTATGGTCAATCGTATGCATTAAACAAACTAAAAGATTACAAAACCGCAAATTGCCGATACTAAAAAAAATACAGCCGGCATTGCACAGATATATATATATATATATATATATAATGTTACGGTCGAAGTAGAAAATCAGTCATTATATACAATGACTAGTACTGAAAATGCCAAGTAAACACAAATTATTATCATGACAAATGATATACAAAACACTTTTTTTTTAATATAATTTATTTTTTGATACATATTATTTATTTTTACAATTGTTGCCATTGTTGCCATTGTGACACTTAGTGTTACATAAAATATTTGCTTTTTTGCATTTACATTTCCTTGTGTCACATTTTGTGATACAAGTGCAGCGTTCGTAATCTTGTTCTCCTAGGTTGGAAAGTAATCTACTTCCCTCAGTGATAACTGAATGTCGGGTACATCCTCAATATTAATAAACTCCTCCTTTCAAATTGTAATCGAATTTCTACTGTAATAATGTTGCAGTTTACCTTTGGTTGTGCCCAATTTGTACTTTCCATCATCCACTAAAAACAAATCTTAATTAAAAATTGGTAAACATGAACATAATTAACAAAAATATTGCTTTTATTACCTGATAGTATCACTCCCGAAATTGATCGTAAGTCACTTCGAGTTCTATCCACATCTGGTATCTTAATTTTAATGGATTGTCCAATTTTTCCATCACAAAATCACGAAATAAACGCCAGTTTTAGAATTGTACACAATGTCCTCACCTGTTTTAGCATTGCATACAATGACTAGTCATTGTATTACAATAACTAGTCTATGTAGGAACTACATTTGTATGGTTTACTTTTGCCCAAATAGCATCAGCATTGTGTACAACGACTGATTTTTCCACTTGGACCGTAACATATATATTAAATAAAAGCTTATGTAATATACATTAATATGAAAAAGAAAAATTTCAGACTTAAGTTAGTTTTCATGGTGAAAAATAACATCAAATTTAATAAAAAAAATAAGATTTTTGTAAAAAAATTATTTTTAATTTTATAATGCTATAACTTTTTGAAAAATATATAGGACAATACTATATATTTATGATAAAATACTATTTATATACCTATTGCATTTGACATACTTTTTTTTTTAATAAAGCCATTTCCCTTTATATATATATATATATATATATATCATAAAACTAGTTATCAGAATGTAAATAAGGAAATAGAAGTTCATATAGCTTTTGTTATAATTAAATTGCCAATTTTATCAAAAAACGAATGCGATTAACGTTTACTGATTCAATAAAAATCATTGTCCGTAACAATGACTTTTTTGCAATTTTTCCGTAATTCTTTTTGAATTACGTTTTTGTAACTTTGTTTTTGGTTTAATCCACTAATTTTTCAAAATTATACACTATCTACAGATTTGCATCGAAGTATTTTTTATGAGAGTGATTTTAATAACTATCATTAAATAAAACACTGTATCGCCACTCCACTGTGCTGGGTTTTTTATGCGTATTTTTAAACGTTTAATATTTTGAAATACATACATACAAAAAATTGAATTAATAATAGAAAAAATTAAAAATTTTTGCACCTTGAAAAGCAATTGGAAAAATTATATAGCTATAAAACTTAGTCATCATTGATCCATATTTAAAAATATTATTTTCAATGATGACGATTGTGCAAATTTTAAATCGATTTTATAAAATGTAAATATTTAACTAATGAAGTTAACATTACCTTAATACATGATTGTTACATTTTAAACACTACTTGTTTTAAACGTACTTAAAACACCAACAATTTCAAAATTTACATTGACCTTGTTGGGGACGTGACTAAAAGAAATAAAATTTTTGTTTTCTATATATTTGTGTGTAATCTAATTGTTTATGATAAACGGTTCACTCTGTAGATTTCGATTATTACCTTTGATGCAAAGCTGAGAAGGTATTGATTTTACCGTGTTATGGGGTTTTTTATATCTGTACATGAAAATTCTTGGCTCTAACTGGAATGATTTGGATGATCATTATGTTAAAAAAACCCAATTTTGATGTAGATGAACCTATCCAAAAATTAAAAAGCCCCTAAATTTAAGATATGTAATAAAGTATTAAAGGCTCTTACAATGTATTATAAAATTGAAAAAATATTTAAATCTTACGATTGTTCTACTATTGGCCGTCAATTTAGTAATAGTAATATATAATTATTTTTTTTATAATTGTGATATATTACTGTCAGGTATTATCTATACTTGTCCCAACTATGCTGCGATTTCATTTTTTTATAATATCTCTTTTTAGTTGTTAAAATAATTTAATAATAGATTTTTAGAAAAACACATTTTAAGTTACATTATTCAAAATTTAATATTGATTGAGACAGAAAATAATAGCGAATGTGCAAAAATAATAATTTTAATAAAAAAAAATGACATAAATGATAAAACAGTATACAGTAACGGCACAAATTCTAAATATAAAATTGCATATTTCAAGAATAAACATAATATAAATGTTTCCACAATGATCCATCTGTTAGATACACATTAATGTGAGGTGACGCGATACATTTAATTTAATATGAAAAAACACGGTAAGTGAGGGAGAGCAGGTCAGTCGATCGCGTCATACACGTGCGTGTTTGTCACGACGGGTATGCCGCTGACACAACGCAATTTGTTTTCATCATTTTTTGTAGCCGTCTAGTAGACCGGAGATTCCGCATTTTTTGGAATATACGCCGTGATCTTCAATGGGTTTTCTTCCCACTAAAAAACCACCACCTTCGTAATGGTACGGCGGCGCTGCTGTTTAGACCGGTCCCTGCAGTGTGTGACAGAGGTCGTGAAACATTCATTCGCGCTCAATTAGTCGGCCGTTTCGGTTGTATCGACGCCAGGTAATTTTGGGTCGAGTATTGCCTTGTCGCCACAGTGTTCAATTTGAGTTGCTCAACGGCTTTGTTATATGTTACGGTTTTTTGTTTGTTGCCTTCCCTGCATCTGAAGTGTCACAATGTTCATCACCTTCTAACGGCAGTGGGTAATTACTAAGAATTTTGTATTGTTCATTTAACGGATTTACAGTCCACATAATATTTTATTATTAGTTATAAATTATATTATTATTATATTAGTTATGAAAAAGGGGATAACTGTTATTTATTTCATTAGTAATTTGTGCTAATTTCATGTATGATTAGTTATTGTTGTTTGTTATTTTCTATCATAACGGAAATATATTGTGATTATTATATATATGTTGTTTTTCTTTCTTTCTATTTAATATATTGTAAGGCTCAATTTCCCATTTTATATTCTCCTGTTCCTTCCGCTAAGTCATGGCCAAATACGTATAGTTAATCGTAGTTATTAAACGAACAAAAATGTTACAAGCAAAATTCGCAAATAGCCGATACTAGACAAAAAATATAGCCGGCATTGCACACCATCTAACACTTATATTCCTTCCAATGAAAAATATATATAAAATATATTTATTAACACGAACATGTATATGCAAAGACTGTATACCTATACATATATATGGGGTATTCAGTAATTAAGGAAACGAATTTCTACTTTTCCCATTGTTTGTAATAACTGACCTGTTTACTTACTCGCTGAACACTCTGTATATATAGGCTGTATTATAGCTTGTCTCAAATCTAACACACAATAATTTTAACTTTTGATCCAACTATGATTTTGATAAAAATTTTTAGAAATAATTATTCCCTACTTAGACTACGTTTAAGGAATATTTTTTATTATTTATAATTAGAGTATTAAGAAAAAACTAAAAAAAATTTCATGGTTTTTTATGACATCGATATTAGCAGGTACAAAGCATTGTTATTATCAATGGTAGTAAGACACATTGTTGTGAGTTTATAAATACATTAACTGACAATACAGAATGTATATCTATTGATAGTCATAATTGATAATAAACAATCCGTGACTGTGATAGCAATATCATAAAAAACCAATTAGCTACCTGTAATTTTAATCCCTAGTGTATTATACCTATATATTAACTCAAAAAATTGAAACTTTAAATGTTTATATCTAATAAACGAATAAAGTTATANTATATTAACTCAAAAAATTGAAACTTTAAATGTTTATATCTAATAAACGAATAAAGTTATATTAAAAATTCAAATGACATTTGTTATTAAATTAAAAACTCAAACATTTTATTAAATTCAAAATATGTGTTACCATTTAAAAAAACAAAGTTGACACCCTTACCAGGCATAAGGGATGAACTTAAAAAGTATTACATAGTTAATAATTCAAGAATAATGTGTAACTAAAGATAAGAATAAAAAAAAAATTTTAAATTATTATTATTCTGTAAGTAATTGAGTGGGTTATGATAAAAAAATCACCCTGTATATATAAAGCAATTTGAATAAAAAAATTTTGCTACCGTTAAATTTTTTATGATAGAGCCTATATTACTAATATAAAAACCTAGCACAGTGGGGTCGTGGCATAGTTGGGTCCAGTATAGATGATATCTGACAGTGATTAAAATCACTATCATAAAAAACGCTTCGATGCAAATCATTAGATAGTGTTTAATTAAAAAAAAAAAAAATTTGTTAAAATAGCATATTTTTGAATACGGTAGCCATTTGCGCATAGAAGATAGGTCGTCGGGAAAAATTTTTTTTTTTATTTTATAGTACATAAAATAAGGTTTAATTTGATATATGTTTAAAGGACGCAGTATTCCCGGAACATTTACAAAAGTTATATTGATTTCTGTCAAAAAATTTTTATTTTAAGAAAAATAAAATATCAAACTTTACCGATTTAAAAAATTGCAATTTTTTGGGAACTTTCCTTTATTTACAAGAAACGAGGAAATTTTTTTTAAGGGCAATGTCTTCAACTTTATACGATTTGTAAAAGATCACAAAACGTAACACTAATTTCATATATTTAAGAACAACAAAAAACTAATAAATTCATGTCTATAATCAACGGCGTACACAGGTTTATGAGAAAAAGAGAGCTGTAAAAAAGTGGTAAAAGACATAAATAAAAAAAAAGAAACCATTTCAAAGTTAAATTATTACCTTCTCAGCTTCACGTTAAAGCTAAAATCCACTTTATACTTTTATAAATTTTAATTAATAATGGGACTTAGAATAAATTACTTATAACAATTACTCAAACGCATTTTTAAAGAGACAATACAAGTATTTAATATTTAATATAATATATAATTTTCCATAAAAGTTAATATTACTACTTTTAATCTACAAATATTGATTTTACATAACATATTATATTACAGAAATAAACTTATAAAAACACATAAAGTACTATTACATTAATGAAAAAGTTATCAACTATCTGTTGTACAATTGTCAATTTTCACAAAGGATTGGTATTCAATTAAAATGAATTCGTTAATTTTATCCAGTATATTTACAATACTTATATACAAATTAGGAATTTTGTCAAAAATACCCGGTTCTTTTTCTACGAGTTGTGCAGGAAAGTTCTTAAGTAAAATGTGAATTATTTTCTGTGAGGGTATTTTCGCTCCATTATTATTTAAAAAATCAAGTGGAAGATTTTGTTTATCATTGTCATTTGCTATATGATTAACACAGTCCATTATAATTTGCCGTAAGTTCATTAAACTACAAATTATTTCAAAATCATTGTAAGCTCCGCCTATTTGTTTTTTACCATTTAATATAAAAAAAAAATTGTTAAATATATTGAATGCTATTACAACCTTCTTTATAATTGATTTAATATGTTTAATTTTTAACCCTTCGTAGGCGTAAACAGCTATTAATAAAATATACTTATTTGTATGAAAAATCATATTTTTTTTTGCCTCGTTAAAATTGTCACCCTTCACGTATTTCCATAGAGAATATTCTTTCAATTCTTCTAAACTCTTAACAACCAAAGGATTATCATTTAATTCGTTGACCGAAGTGCAATTGCTTATTTCAATAATTATTGCAATGATTGATATGACAAGAATTTTCATCATCATTTTTAATTTAATTTAAGATTCACTAAATTTATTTACCAAAAAAAATAAACGCAAAAGTTACTAATTTTCTTATTTAACTACTGTATTAGTTACACTTAGTGAATATTTATAACATATGAAATTTATTTTGTACTCTATTTACTTACATGTTTAGTATTAAAATAATTAAAATGTGTATATAATAAATCAAAATGATTTGTAGTTCTTTTATTTAAAAAAAATTTTTTTTGATAAAATTAATTTAAAATTATACTTTATCAAATTTTTATACATTAATCACTTTTACTACTATAATTCTATAATAAAAATCCAACTATACCAAAATCTTAAATACATTCCTTAATTTGACTTAACAATAATTAATTCTAACATAATTTATAATTTATTTAAATGTCTAAAGAATTGAAAAATTACAATATTAAATGTTAAAGGAAAAGGTTTTAATAGCAAAAATATAATGAAAGCTACATTTCCATAGTAACAACATATAGATATTTTGTGAATCAATAAAAATTATTTGAGGGGTTAATATTATTTTTGAAATACAAGCATTTCACGAAAATAATAATACTACAGTAAAAAGGAAATGGAAGATTTAGGAGAAACTAAAGAAGAAGAAAATAAAAAAATAATTCATACTTATCCATTGGTAAAAGTAAGTAAAACTGATGGAAGATCCATTTTGGTAATAATTTTGTCATGAGTATTTTTTTATTATGGGTCAACAGATTTGTGATATGACAGAGGAAATGAAATCTGAAGCTATCGAAGTTATAATTACTGCTTGTGAAAAATTTGGAAACGATTACTATGTAAGTATAAGCATTGATATTCATACAACAGATAATTTAAATGCAATTCACATTAAATATTATGAATAGTTAAAAATTTGTTGAACTACTTGTCTATTTAGTATATTTTGTTATTCTTTTATTTTGTGTGGAAGTAATAAAAAGACAATACTCTATGAAATTTAAAGATAAAACAAAATTATTCACTTATTCTAAATATTCAAAAATAAAATTCTTGTTTATTTATTTGTGACATAAATATTATTTGTCTACTTATTCAATCATTTTTTGACACGAAATTCTATAAAACATATAATTAAATATTTTTATTTTGGTTTGATAGTTATGTAAAATAATTTTATGATAATTAAAAAAGCATCATAATGAAAGCACGTTAAACATAGTAGATTTATGTTTTTTACTACTTAGGCAGCAGCCAAAACAATTAAACAGACGATGGATAAAAAATATGGTCCACAATGGAACACTATTGTTGGAGAAGCTTACGGAATACAAATGACTCACCAAACAAAAACTTTATTATACATGTTCTTTGGTGGAAATCTAGCTATTTGTACATGGAAAATTTAACTTAATCAAGAGAAAATTTGAGAATCAAAATAATTTCACAATTTTACAATTATTTTGTACTCATTACATAATTTTAATTAAATAAAAACTATTGTTAAAGAACATAGACCCATATGAGGTTGCTTTGGCTACTTAGCACACCCCTAAAATATTTTCTTATAATTTACATTTTCTTAATTCTATACTCAAAAACTGTATAAATCTCCATATTATTATATTTATATAAAAAGTTTTGTTACTTATTTATTTGTACTGTATTTTATTTAAAATTATGAGTTAAAACCATTTTCATTGCGTTATGATTATAATATTATAACTGCCATAAAACGATTGGGTATCGTAAAACGTAACGATTAACGGAAATTGTATAATAACGACAAAATAACATAATTTCAAACGAAATAAAGTAAAAAAAAAAACTAAATAGAATTCGAAAACATATTAATGATTCATTATAACTTATGAGGTACAATTAATTTGGGAAAATATAACTACAAGCAAGCTAAAGCATAAAAACTATGAGAGAATTCTCATATGTGAAGAAGGGTGGATTAATTCTTAATAAGGTAAAAAAATTATCAATAACGTTAACATTTTTTATAACGTAAAATACTATGAAATTTATAACTGTCATAATGTAAAAACAAAATAAATAATTTTGATTCAAGTTTTATTAGAGAGTAAGAGATTGTTTTCTACAGAATTTAAATATCTTCAAATTAGAAACACTAATTGCTTCTGTATTAAGTGATTAACAGCAGAACAAAATTGCGTTTATTTGCATTTTGTCCTTTCTCGAGTTATCGATAAAAAGACCAATAAGTGTTCGAGTATATATTACAAATTTTGAGGTTATTATTTAGAATAGTATGACTATTTTTCTATGTACAGCTGACAAATTTATTTCCATTTATTGAAAAGTAATATTATAGATAAATAATTATATATTTATTGTATTATATGGTTTTATCAAAATTATATTAATTCACACTGTTTTTATAAAAATAATTGAAATTTATTAAAAATAAATAAGTAGTACATTATTTTTTAATATATCAGTACAGCAATGTTCAAGACCAAATTTCATTTTAAAAATCCGATAAATGTAATTATTTTGATCATTTTGGTGACCGTTATAGAAAATAACAATATTTGTTTGTATGCTATTGAGTTATTAAATTCACTTAAACCGATAGCCACTAGATAATTCTCAGCCAAAAACAATTCTTCACATAAAACTTTATGAAGTAATCAATGTATAGGGACGTGTTACCAAAGAGTTAAAATATATTTTTTATCTAAAAGAAAATAATAGTCCATAGATATGTTATACTTTTGAAACGATCAAGTTATTTCTGTTATTTTAATTACTTTAAAAACAATCTGAAGGTAATTTTGTACTCGTATTGTCAAATTTTATACTTTGAATAATTCCAACAAAGCACTGTGGTTCTAGACATTCCCAACTGTAATTGTATTTACTTGTAAATAATTTTTTTGTCGTATCTGTATTCTTTGAAGTACTTTTAGCAGATGAGATTGAATTATATTTAGCCGAACTCGACGTACAATGATTTTCAGAACGATTAATTTCGGTAACAACTCTACTTGTTAACAATGTTACATTATTATCTCCTTTGAACGATGTTGAGTGAAAAAATGTTGTTAAACACTCTACTTTATTTTTAATCGGTGATGGACTAACTTTAACTGGTAATGCAGACTTTCTGGTATTTTTTTTGCTCCCTGTAACTTTCATTTTTTTTAAGTTATTTAAATAATAACAAACAGAGTCAAATGTTATTAACGATAAGATATGTCCTGCTTTTCTAACGATCATGCAAACCTAGTTTATTCCATTAACATATTTTTTATTTATATGGCAAAACAATCATGAGTGCTTAGTAAAAATGATTAATACTATTTTTAAAAAATTTTAAAGTCATCACTGAAAGGGGAATAAAGTTAAAAAATTAATTTTAGTTGTACCGTATTGAACAAATGATTTTTTAGTTCAAACTTTTGTTTTAGTCACTGGTTAAATTTGTGTTTAATAGTAAATTTGAACAAATATAGCTATTATCAATTTTATTCAAATTATCGATGCCACTACTAAAATTTAAACTAAAGTGGAAGTATGTGATTAAGTTTTAAATGGTTTACCTTTTGCTATAGTTGTTTTTACTTTTTTCGAATATATCATAGAATATGTCGATGGTGTATTTAATACATTTTTTTTAGCATTTTTCAAATTTTCTGTGACTATGGATGAAAAGGATTCGGGGTTTTGAGATATGGGAATTGTTACAGCAACCCAAGAGTGACTAGTAATAGGAGACATTTTGCGTTGACGTGTTTTACGTTCAAAATTTTTTGTCAACATTCGTTGTCTGAAATTACCATTGTATTTGTTGTTTGAAATCCTTGTGTTACGACAACCATTTGAAGTGAAAAAGTTATTAGATTTGGTTATACTTCTCATGTGACCAATAGAAAATTGTTTTCTGAAAGAAAACATTTTTCCATGATTTATATAAACATTAATCATATATTTTTTCTTTTTTTTACTATACTTAGTGCCGGACCTGGTACGGGCTATTTTTTTACGCACAGTTTGTTCGTGAGGATAAGTTGATTGAAAGTTATAAATTAAATTCACAGTTTCTGAACGACTTTTTAAACCTTGGTTATACTTGGTGGTCTTTTTTTTGTTTTCATTTTCATAATATTGAATGTTATCACATAGTATTAAAAGTTTTGGATGACTAGGAGTATTTTTTTGTAGTTCACCGTTTTCATGTTTTCTGTTATTACTAAACATAGATAATGGTCTATCAAAATTCATCTCATTTCGTCTAGGAAAATTGTTCATGGCTAATTCATTTTGGGTATCCAAAAACTTATTAAGCCTAGAAATTTTCATATGAATTGGAACACCATTCGTTGACATATTTTCTAAAATAATTATATAGCTATTCGAAATACTTAAAATGTCATTAATTTTTTACTAATGATTTACCTTGATTATCTTCTTTTACATGCAGATCAAGAAACAATCCATAACGAAAAAAATTGAATAAAAGTATAATATTAAAATTGAACATATCGTTATAAATTTACACATTAATAATTTATTGAAATTAATTATTAAAAAATTAGCTCCTTGTTTAGTTTCTATGCCAATATATTATAATTGTAATTTATAAATATATATCTGGTCCTTTTTCATTAAATAAATGTCATAATAGTGTATTTCCAAATTTTATTTATTTATATAATATTCAAACTTTAAGTTTGATAGAAGTCAATTGAATTGATAAACATAACATATTTATAAGTTTCTTATTTTTAATAAATAGCAAAACAAAAAAAAACACTTTACTTATGCACATTTTAACATATGAAAGAAGGGAAATCTCAGTGCATTGACAATTTATTCATTTTATAATTGAGTGATATTTTAATACTTTAAATAGTTAAATAAAAAGACACTTTGCACACAAAAACATTTATATATTTTTCAAACAAAATACAACAAAACTGAGTTTAAAAAAATTAGCTTCAGAATACAAATTAGTTTACATAAAGTTTTAGCTGAAAAAAATGTATAGTGTTATGACCCAATAATACATCACCTAGTTTAAAACAAGATTCACAAAAAAAAAAAAAATGCTAAAAAACAAACAAGATTTTAGTAGATATTTTCACATTCATTGAAAAAATTTTCTTTTAGATTCAACAGTTTTAATATAGGTGAGGAACATTATATTCTATTTTCGTATTAATAAAAATTATGCCTTCATCAAGAAAACTGAATATTATATATAAAAAACTTACACCTATAGAATAGTATTTTAGAATAATAAAATTATAATTGTTACTATCAATGAATGAGCACATAAATTTAAAATGGTATTATTAAAGAAAATATTAAAATTATAGTACTTTTTTTGTATGTATACTAATATAATGGTTAACTAGTAATTATTATTACAAAATTACATCATAAAAATATAAGAAAAATTTTTTTTTTTAATTTTATTTTATACTGCAATAAAAATTTTAATATCATTAAGTATATTAAGATTTTCTAAGGTAGTAATTCATACCTTAATACTGAAAATAATTTTTTTATTTAATTAAAAATATTTAATGATATCCTGGCTAACAAAAATTTGAAATATAATAATTCTTATATTTCAATAAAATTAATAAAAAAAAATTATATTCCAAACATAACTCTTATTTCTACACAAGACATAAATTACATTAAAAGTAATTTTGTAAAATTTATACTTAGATCACCTTACTCTGAATAATAATTTATACAGCCAATAAAAACTGATTATTTTTCACTAAAAAAAAGAAAATTATTTCATAGTTATTTAATTAACTTAAATATGTAATATTTGTTGTAATAATTTTCACTGATACAGATGAATACATAACATTGATATTCTACAATAACAGACTAGAATTATCATATAAATTACAAAATATCAATTATTAAAATAGTTAAAAATACAGTTATTATAAATTATTTGATTGTATACATAGATGTAAAAAAAAATAATTACTACTACACTAAAATTATGGTTTTATTTTGTTTAAAATAAATTCAGAAATTATTAATACAAAATAATCTCATTTGTTTATTTTTGATAGTTACATGGTTCTACCTATTAATACAAGAAACAAAATAAACAAGAAAGTTTAATACATTGGAATTTTCAAACTATTATTGCATATTATACACTAAAAATATTTGTTAAATTATTATATCAAATAGTTATTATAAAAAAAAGAAATAATGGTGAAATAGCTACTGATATAAGTAAAACCCATTTATATGTTTATAATTTTTGATATGTTTTACAACAGATAAAATTATAATATGCATGTTAGGGTATTAATTATCTACTGATAATAATTAAAATTAGACTTTGAAAAAAAAAACAAAAAATCATTATAAAATAATTCAGACCGCTAATTTCATAAATATTGTTTATCTTTTCCCTTAATTCGTTAAATTTGACATAATAAGTTATTTTAACTATTATTTTTGATACAGCTATTAATAAGTAATACAAATTTTACTTGACAAAATTTAACATTTAAAAATATCATTATGAAGAATTATAGAGCATATGCATAAATATAAAAAAGTTTTATTAAAATTATTCTAATTATATTTACTTATATTAAATAATTATAATTATTTTATGTAATTTGGCACTCTGGACTGAACAGGATATTAAAATATATAGGGTAAACAACAATTATATTGGAATGTATAATTTCTACCAAAAGTATTAAATTTGATTTAAAAAAATAACATTAATCATTTATAATAAATTAGTTTGCTTCAGGCGAATCCCATTTTAAATGAACCTGAGGTGCAAAGTTAATAATTTCAACATGTGTAGCCTGAACTTTTTCAAACTTAGGAGGAACAGGACACAATCTGTATCGAACATGATCACCTGGTAATGGAACATACTCTCCTTCAATACTGTAAAATTAATATTTTTTGATATTTATTTATATGATATGAAATTATGTGTTTTAAAATTATGGTAAATATTATTGACACATTTATATAAAACTAAAGATTTAGAAATAATCAATTTGTATCCTTTATGAGGGATACAAATATTATTAGAAATAATAAGATAGTCATATTATCAGTGCCTATACCTCTATTGGTCATCAAAAACAATAATCAGTATAAAAATATTATAATTAGATAAAAAGTTATCTTAATTTAAAAAAGTAATTTTAAATGATAATTTTTTTAATTATAGATATAAAATAACTGTTTTACTTTATACGAGAGAAGACGTCAAAAAAAAAAAAATGCCTAATGACAAGGTTATATTATTTTTTTATTGATATTTTCATTGTCATTAACAAAAAATATGAAATGTACTAACAGATAATTAATTATTTAAAAGTAAATGAAAATTAAATATGAATAAATTAAAATACAATTTTTTATGATTTGATTAAACTTATTATTCATATATGAAATTAATGTAGATTATTGAAACAAACATAGTTATCATAATAAAAGTACTCACTCTGATATATGTACAAATATATCGGGGTCTCCATTTTCTGGTGTAATAAAACCATGTCCTTTAGATTTGCAAAAATACTTAACATGTCCAGTTACTTGTGGATTTTTTAAGGCTAGTGCAGATCTATAAGGAATGACAAATTAAGTTATAAAGTGTAATTCCAAAGGCTACTTAGGAATATTTCGATTATTTTGACAATATTTTTGAAATCATCAAATATTAATGACTATCATTTTTTAATATATTAAAATTAATTTTTCACAATATGACCAAGCTCGAAGATTAAGACAATCTAAAATGCACTAAGTAAGCATCAGGTGCTATATATTTAAGTATTATGAGGGTAAAGTAATTCTAAATTGATTATAACTATCTTACGTAGAGTCCGTTCTTGTTCTTCGAGTGACGATTGGACTAGGTGTTAGTAAACCCATTTTGCTTGGTGATAGATGGTGAGCAATTTTCGCAGCTTCTAGATCTTCAACAGCGTTAACATTACTCATTTTGAATATTTCAAATATTTTTGTCAAAACCAATAACTAAAATAATAATACAAATAGTTGGAATTCAAAACAAATATTTTTAAACGATTGTAATTGACAAAATGTGCTATGAAGTATCTCAATTATTACCTTATGGTTTATTAGTTAAAGTAAATAGTGACAATGAAGCGATAACCGTGATAAACAACTACGAGCTTGATAATACTAAATTTTCGGATATCAGGATTACCAACTGCTGTGAATAAAATGTTTAGAATCCTATTTTATAGAATTAAACTTTGTTTTGACATTTTATTCTATTGAATAGTTATTTAATGATTAAATATTATTATACTATATTATACCTTAACAACGCATTTAAAGTTTTCTTAATTAAATGCTATTTTTTTTAGTTGTAACAATATGTTAGTATTAACATCGTAGCTTATGCTAATTTACAGAACTACAAATATTTAGACAAGGTCAACCAACATGCAATTTTAATTATTATTCACGATGGATTTGAAAAGTTCATGATAAATGATAAAAGCAGACTATTTTAAAGTATATATATATAAAAAAATTTTTTTTGTTATTAAAAACAGTAATAAAAATATAATTTTAACACGTAATTAGATTATCTAAATAATACTAATTTTTGTAAACATAACTTTATAAAAAATCGAGTCTTAAATATTTTAATATGATAATTTAAAAAAACTCATGTTAATAAAATGATTAGAGTAGCATTATATCTCAAATAAAAACCAACATTTTTGAATTTTGTATCATTAATTTATAGGGTAAGATTGTGTGAACAATTTGGGTCGAGGATTTAAGTGAAAGAAAACTATTGTAAAAGAAAAATTGTAAATTATTAAATGAATGGATGTATGTATTCAATTTAGGGGGTTCAAATTTTCTGCTCCCCCGATTTTGCTCAATTTTAAGGTATATTAATTAAGAAAATGCAAAATACTCGGGGAATATGTTCCACTAGTCGTTTAATCTTAGAAAAAAAAATCATTTATAGTTAATGCTATGTATATATCCAGAAGACTACTTGTTTTAAAATGTTTAAAATAATTGTATTAATTCATTTGACTAAATAATAAATAAAATTAGATGTGGTAATATATTACTTGAGGTACTAAAATATTGTATTTGGTTTAAAATAAAATAAACTTACTTAAAAATTATTTCTTTTAAATCTTAAAAGTACCAACGTTTACTAAAAAATAACAATTTAAACGTGGTTATTAGACATTAAAATAACATACAAGTAAAATATCTTTTCCAAAAAATGTTTAAAGTTTGTATTTTTAATGTTAAAATTTATAATACCGTTAAATATAAATTTAATTATTAAAAATATTTTATAAATTTTATAACTCGGTCATGTTTATTCGAAGTATCATAAACGAGGTATTATTATTTCATTTCCAAAGTATTAATCAACTACTTGTCGACAACGGCGCCACATGAGCTGTAGATCATGTTGCTGAGCAACCGATTTGTTGTAATGAAACGTACTGTTTACTTAATAATACATCTTGTAAATATCTAACTAGGCAAAAGGAAATTATTTTTTACGCATAGTTTGTACAAAAATTTACAAACAGTTTTTAAAGTTAATACGTTAGTAAATTATACTCTCGGACATGTCGAAAAAACAGAACACTAAATCAGAATCATCCCCCTCATTATCGTTACAAGGCTCACAAGTATGTACACTATTCACTGAATTTTGGTGATATATTATTCATTAGTGTTTATTCCAATTTTATGCCAATCACAATCAAACATTTTTGTAAGAATTGGTATTAGAGTTAATCTGAACAGACTTTATTTGTTTATATTATATGAAGTATGACAAATGGAAGATTGACAACAGCTGTACGAAGACAAAGTAAAAAAAAAAAAATGCGATTTAAAATTTCATTATCAACAAAATAATAAATTTTTAATATACGTCACATTATTTTTCGTTATAAAATGTGTTTCAATAATCAAAAATAGTTGTGCAAATAATCGTAGAAAATGTTTGATGATTAATAAACTTAAACTAATTAAATTAATAATTATTATAACTTTGCAATAAAGTTATAATATTTAAACCTTACTCAATTTTAACATCACCTTGTAATATTTATTTTTAAGTCGAGGAAATAAACAACTCTGAACTCTGTAGAGTATATTAAGCGGTTTGGTTGGATTACTAATAATGTAACACACACGTCATTGAATATTCATTGATTCAGTGTANGTTACTAATAATGTAACGCACACGTCATTGAATATTCATTGATTCAGTGTACAGTACATAAAAAAATGTAACTCGTAAAAAATATGTTAAATTCGTTATTGATTTGTTTGTAAATCATCATTTACTTTCAAATACTTTTGGAAAATGTAATTTAACTTAATTAAAATTAAATTAAATATCTACGTACAGTATTTTGTTATTTTGAGTTATAACAAAATTATTCTTTTCACATAAATAAAATCTAATTATTTTGCTGTTTTCAAAAACTAATTCAAAAATCAGTTATGATTTACACTTAAAGGTACTATTAGCCTTAAAATTTTTGAATGATTTAAACTTAAATATTTATGAGATTATCAAACATAATACTTACTCTTGAATATCTACATGATTCTTATGAACAAAATATTGAAGATACTGTTTTTGACTTGTCACGCAATTATCTACAAAATCATTATACGATAAAAATGTATACACGCAACGTACTACTTGTTAAGTCACTATTATTTAAAACAATATTGGTTGAAAATAGTTTAATGGTATTTAGAGTCGTCGCAAGAAGATAAAAGTTATATGTTTATTTAAAAATAATATTTACAATGCGTCTCATTTAAATCCATTTAAAACATAACATAACATTTTACCGATCGAAATCATGTATACACAAAAAGCGTGTGGGTATATTTTCAATGCAAATAATCAGTTTAATTTATATAAAAAAAAATGCTCTTAATAATGTATTTTTATCTTATCAAAGAGCATAGTTACTTTTCGATAAAATAAATGTAATACGAATAAAAATAGTGAACTATTAACTAAAAATTCTTTATTCACAAGTAAAATTATTTCCGTCTATTTAATAAATATATAAATAAATTTAATATTTTTGTGTCTATATGTATAAATTTACATTATTTCAGTAGTAAGTTAAAGCAGAGCAATTCGTTTATTATAATCCACTCGAATTACTCACAAAATAAATATAATTTTGAGAAAAAAAATGTTTTTTTGTTTAGTACACGTATTATTATATTATTAGTTATTAATTACTTTTTAGCATTATTTTTATTACATTACTAGTGTGTAGACTTAATTTTTTTAAATTGTAACACCCTATTTCATTGAATTAAATAATACAAAAATTATTTAAAATATGAAAAAAGTTTTATAAAATTGCAATTAGAATGAAATGATATTTTTTTATAAATAAAAAAAGAATGTATTATAGTTTTGTAGAATAATTAATTATTTACCAAAAGTTAGTTAATACGCATGATTAAAGTACAAGATATTTTAACACTGCATAAATTATATATTAATAATAGTAATTGTATATTTATTCTTAATATTGATAAATTATACAATTATGACCAAAAGTTTTTTGATTAGTGTTTCATTTTAACATTTTGCGCAAAAATTATACACATGTACATAAATTGATACCTGTATCTGTGGTGTTTGGGTAAAAGGGCTTAAGGACAAAAATTGCGTAAATGAGATTAAATACATCATAATATTTAAAAAGAAATATACTTTTTTACGGTACAATAAACAATGAAATGATTAATTTTAAATTTAAGATATCTTACTTGAGCACCACAGAAATTGAAGACAAAATCAATTTTAAAACTAATTTTTAANGAATGTATTGTAGTTTTATAGAATAACTAATTATTTACCAAAAGTTAGTTAATACGCACGATTAAAGTACAAGATATTTTAACACTGCATAAATTATATATTAATAATAGTAATTGTATATTTATTCTTAATATTGATAAGTTATACAATTATGACCAAAAGTTTTTTGATTAGTGTTTCATTTTAACATTTTGCGCAAAAATTATACACATGTACATAAATTGTTACCTGTATCTGTGGTGCTCGGGTAAAATGGCTTAAGTACAAAAATTGCGTAAATGAGGTTAAATAAATCATAATATTTAAAAAGAAATACACTTTTTTACGGTACAATAGACAATGAAATGATTAATTTTAAATTTAAGATATCTTACTTAAGCACCATAGAAATTGAAGACAAAATCAATTTTAAAACTAATTTTAAATTAAATAATTCAATTGAGAAGTATATTATTTTAGATAAATTTGACTTTGCGTTCGTCAAATTGTAATACACCAAGTCCCCTACGATGTTTTTACAATCAAAATATAGATTTTACAAACCAAAACCATCCGTTTTCTAGACCAATGTCAGCATCTACAATGGGTCCTATAAATCAGGTTGATAATTAAAGAGTGAATATGTAAAATCTCTAATGTGCCGAATTATTATTTTTTATATAAATTTAATATTATTGCTTTGGATCTAATATCATAAAATATTCTTACATTTTTATTTTAATAATTAATATATAAATGAATTACTATTATTAATTTATAAATAACCATAAGTTAAATTTAAGTATGGAGAACAATTGTTTATTATTTTGGCATTTAGGGCGTTTACAAATTTATTCTTAAATTTATAATTACTACATTTCTTTATGCAAATTTTTTTTCAAGGATTCTCCTAGAAAATTCAACTTAGTCAAAAGACCTCAATCTGCAGATATATTAAGTACATTTGAAAAGAACAGACATATAACATTTAATTTTAACGACCATCAAAGTGGTTCAAGTAATATTCAAAATAATATTAGTTATGATTAAATTAATTATAAATAGTATTTTGATAAATGATTAAGGATTTAATAAATGCTCAAAAGTTCAAAACGCATTTGAAGAACTGGAGGTAGAAGATTTATCATTGGAAAGTTGCTCTATGCCTGCAAAGAATGATGACCATCAATCAAATGATGAACAATTAGAACCAGGCCTAACATCCAAACCACCCATTCCACCAACAATTCTTCATTCAGCAGTTGAATATGATGAAAGAGAAAAAAAAAACATGCCTATAACATTTGACGATTCTATAGCGCTTAAATTTCAGAGATGGTTTCCAAATTCGGTATCTAATTCACAACCATCAGAAATTGGAACAGATGTCTCATTGAAAGGTATGTCGTACGAATATAGCCAGCGAGTTATTGATAAAGATAAAGGCACTATAACTTATACAAGAAGTAGTTCATCTATGAGCATTAGAGGAAGTGAAGATCATTTGGATGAAGAAAATCTTTACTCTAATTTAAATGCTGCTATAAGTTGTGATAATAAGCTTAAATCGTCTATGTCAGTAGATCTTTTAGAAATCCTGCATAATAATGACAACCACCAAATATCGTCAGGAAAAAAGAAAAAGAAAAAAGTGCTACCAGTTGCGTCCAAATTAAAAAAGGAAATACTAAAATCAGGTGAAGTAAAAAAAAATCTCCTGAAATGCAAAATACCAGGTGATCAAAACGATCCTGTTAAAGATCAACCAAAACCTGTTAACATTAGTGAAACGAAAAAAGACTATTCTAAAAAAGCAAATACTTCACCTGTCATTGACAAGCCTAAAGAAGAAATTGTTTCATGGATGTCAACTCATCAAAATCAAAGACCAAATACGCCAAAACATAATAATAATATTTTCGTGAGTACTGAAAATACCGTTTCTAAAGCTAAAATAAGATAATAAAATAATTAAAATTAATTATTATATTTTTATATATTTCATAGATGGAAAATACTTCAACTTATGAAGAAATAGTAAGCATACTTAAAGAACTTGAATCGGAAAATGACATTACTGATAGTAATAATGAATAATAACAATTATTAATTATTCTTTGTTTAAAATTCTTTTTTTCTTTATTTATAATATTGTAATTAAAAATTGTAATCGCCTAAAATATTTATATAATATATTCATCCTATTAAAAATTATCCGTAGTAACTTGTTATTTATTGTAGAAATCAGTGTCAATAAAAATGGTCTTTCAGAGTTAAATAATCACGAAATACTAGCTCCTGAGATTTCGACTTCTAGTTCAAAGTTAATATCATTTGGAATTTTTTAAAAATATTTTTAGGTTTTCAGTTTTTAAAGAATTTTTTATTTTTGTTTTTGAAATTCATTTTTTAAAAGAGCGCTTTGGTCATTTTTGGACGAAGTTGATAAAAATTCAAATTGTTCCACTCCTTCAAAAACACAGCAACTAAAATCATCTATAATTAAAACTAGCGTGTTAAAATCGTAAGTTAATTTGTACTGAGCTATACATTTTAATTTTCTTAAATAATTATTGTAGTTTAGAAAACAAATCAACAGAAGTAAAAAAAGGTAGTCTACAACATTTAATGGAACTAGGCAAACCAGAATTGGCTCAAAAAGTTGCCTGTTTACAATTGTTTTTATCAGAAAAAGACGATTTAGTCGAAAAGCTTAAAATAACAATTTCTGAACTGCAGGCAGAACATGCAAAGAGCAAGGCAGAATATGAATCCACGGTTATGAGACATCAGAAGTTTATAGATAAAGTACTTAAATTCAGTTAATAAAATTATTTTAATAGGTATTTTTAAGTATATTTTATTTTACATATTATTTTTTAGGTATTGCTTGAAAAAAAAGAATTAAGCGAAAAGTGTACTGAGACCGTAAAAGATTTAACGAATAAAATGAAGGAAAGATTAGCAAGTCAAGAAGAACGACATAAAGTTGAACTAAAAAAAGCTATTGAAAAGCAAATAGCGTCTGAAAAGGTTAAAAAAGATCGATGGGAAGACCTTAAAACCAAAAAACTCAAAGTATTAGATTTGTTCATATTATAGTTAAATATAATTAACATTAATATAAAACCTTTGTAGGAGTTAACAATTAAAGGGATGGAACCAGAGTTAAATAGAATGTCAGCAGCTTATCAAGAAGAAATATCAGAACTTAGAAGAATTCATCAAACACAAATTGAAGAAATTGAGTCTACGTGGCATAGGAGAATGGCTGCAATGAGAGATAAAATGGATGGTGAACGAGAACAAGCAGTGATTGTAGAGAGAGAAACGGCTAGAAATAGGTGAAACAAATAGACGCTTCTTAATATAAGTTCCATTAATATGATCTAATAAATTATTATATTTTTGTGGACATTAATCTTTTAAATATTGTATATTATTTTTGTCAAATAGATTAGAAATGGAAATAGCTGAACTTGAAAAAAGTTACCAAGAACAACGAAGACGGCTTTTAGGGGAAATCCATTCCGAAAGATTGCGTCTAGAGCGAGAAAACGAAGCTGTTTTGATGGAAAGACGTCGTAGTTTAGATCAGAAGTTTGAAAAATCTGTAGCTGACATTCAAGAGAAATTAGCTATTAAAGAGGATGATTTCCAGGTAAAATTAATATTTATAGCGTTTAACATGTTTGGAAATAATAAATTTTAATAACCCCTTAATTCTATTATAATTAAATAAATGTTATTTAGCTTTAACTCAAAAGGTGCATTCATTAATTTTATTTATATCTAAACTATATTTGTTTATAAATACACAGAGACTTTAAAAATTAATTTTTATATTAATTGAATGTTAACAAATTTTTTAAACAATTTGATTATTAATAAGGACTAGCATTAAATATTTTAAACATTTAACATTATATGTTACAAATTTTATTTCAATTAATATACTTTTCTTAATAAATACTCAAGTTTTGAATAACAAGTANTTTTATTTCAATTAATATACATTCCTTAATAAATACTCAAGTTTTGAATAACAAGTAGAAATAATTGTAAATAAATATAAATAATTTTAGAGGGAATTAAAATCTATGAAAGAGTCATTAGAATCTGAAAAAACTGCGTGGATTAAAAATCAAACTACAATTTTGGAAGATAAAGAAACCTTAATTAAAGAAGCATGCAAAAAAGAAAGAGATAGACACATTGAATTAGTAGTACAGAAGTTGGAAAATGAAGCTACAGAAAGAGAAAAAGCATCAGATTTGAAAATCAAGTATGAAGTTATTTTGTTAAAATTAATTATTTTTCTTTTTAAAACTATAATTTTTTTTTAGTATGTATAGATAAAATTCAAAATTATTTAAATTTAAATTTTATAATGAGTGAATAAAAATATATAGTTTAATTCCCACACAAGAATTTGGTGTAAAATATAATTTTATTTTTAGGAGAATAAAATCAGAATTTGAAGCAGATATACATGAATTGGAAAATATAATATCTGGGTTGCGATTAAAGTTAAATGAGTATCGTACTAAATTGCAAGAAAATGAAGACAAAATTGTTGACTTGATGGCAGAATTAAACAAGAATCAAATTGAATTAAAAAGATTTCAAGAAGTACATCAATTTATTTTGAAAAAGCCTGTCATAATATTTTTTAATATTTATTTTTATTTTCATAGACTGTATCGAAACTTAATGATGATTTGAAAGAAAAAGACATGATCATAAAAACAGAGAATGTGGATAAGATTGAAATGCTAAAAACAGAACTTAAACAAACTAAATCACACTTTGAAGCTTTAATTAACTCAATTGATAATGAAAAAGAAAAAGAAATAAATCATATATATGTTAGGTAGTAACAATTCTTTACTAGGTCATTTAAATATTTTTTATAAAAACTTTTATATGGTTTAGAGTAAGAGAAGCAATTAGTCGAAAAGATGAAGCTATTCAAGCAATACAAAGTGAAAGAGATACCGCATTAAATCAATGCAGCGATCTAGAAATAATGTTAGAGAAACAAAGAAAAGAATACATGCAACTTAAATGAATTATTTTTTTGTAAATAATTATGGTTGGCTTTATAATTTTTGATAATAATATTTGTATAAATTATAATAATAATATAGTACATACTTGTACTACCAATAAATAAATATTTATTGTGTTGATAGCAGTGTTGTGCCCAGATAAAAAATATTTCTCTAAATTAATTAAAAGATTAATACTAAAATTCAGTTATATTAAATAATTATTTTAAAGATTATAAACTTTGTCTTTATCTGAAAAAATATAAATCTTCAAAAAGGACCAAAAATGTATTAAGATGATTTTTTTTCTAAATTAATTTTGATTTTTCAATATTTTAGTAAAAGGTAACATTAATATTTATTTACACTCATCTAACATTTTTATAAAAATATTAAAAAATAACATTGGTTTTACTTAACTTTTCAATCAAAAGTTTAGATATTTTTAGAATCTATTTTTGTGTAAACAGAAGAAAAATTCATCAAATAAAAATTATTTTTATTTAATAATAAAATATATACAATTATAAAATAGTCATCAAGAGTTTAAGTTTTATTTTATTTAATTCACATATAAGCATTTTAAAAGTTTTATCGTACAACCTATTCTTCCGTTCATTCATTTTTTCCGAGTCATTTTTTCCGACCAGTTATTGAATATGCTTCCAGCAGATAAAAAAAGCCGAAGATAAAATAGTATTTTTTTTAGAAAAAATTCTTTATTAGCTAATGCAAATAAATCCAATATTTTTTAATTGAGCCTATATATGTTAAGACCAATTATTGCTAAGATTGTTTGACAGTAGATAAATAATTATTTCAAATTTGAAAAAACTCTAAATGGTGCAATCAACATCAGTTATTAAACTTAATACATGATGATCTGTTAAACTAATATGTTTTGATAAACAAAAAAAAAATAGAATCATTATCCCACTATAATAGATAAAACAGATTTGGTGTAAATTCTATCAAATATTGAATGCGAGTAGGTGGTGTCGCGCAGGTTTTTAAATGTCATCTAGTTTTTAGTCGGAAACTGGATGTTTTTGTGACGTCGGCGCACCCAAAGCAAATCGTCGTATCGTAAAGTGTAAAAACAAAACATCCCAGTACAGTGGGGAAGTGATATAGTTGGGTTCAGTATAGATAATATTTGACAGTGATTAAAATCACTATCATAAAAAACGCTCTAATGCAAATCTGTAAATGGTCTTTAATTTAAGAAATTGTTTGATTTTTCTGAAAGCAAATTTAACTCCTATTTCTATCATTATTCTTAATTAGTAGTTGATTTATAAGTATAATTTATGAATAAATATCTATTAAAGCAACTCAACGTAGTATGAAATTAATATTTTATAATTTAGTATTGTAATTTTTTCGGAGAGTTTATAAAAAATTATAAAGTAGTTATTATTTTTATGGTAAACGTGTATAAAAATTTATAGGCTTGACACAGAACTTTTTTGATAATACTTTGTTGTTAATTATAAATAAATGCTTTGCAAAATTTTTTTTTTTAAATTTGAAGGTAATATCTTTAACTAGAAAATAATTGTCATCATTTGATGTATCGTTAAAAAAATTTGGTCAAGTGAGGGCTGAAAAAATATAAGAGAGCCATAAAAAAAATCACATAGTAAAAAAACTTATTAAAAATAAGAAATTTCTTCAAACGAGGGGGTACTACAGTGATGGGGTCCTTGATATTTATAAAGGTTATTGAATTTAAATGAGATTAAAATCATATGATTTAAAAAATTTTTTCTAACTCAAATACTTTTGTAAGGTATTTTAAAATAAAATAAAATACAGAATTGAAAATTTTAACACAAAAATAGCATTTGGAAGTCATTTTCACCTTGAAGACAAAATAAAGTCCGAAATTTTGTTTTCCATTTAAAATCGATTAATCGTGTGGTTTATGATAAAACGATTAGATTACACTGTACAGCATTTATATATGACAAAAAGTTATACTTAAACATTATTACTTCATTTTTCAAATTATATCAAAAATATCTAAATTAATTTGAAAGATCGAATTTATTGTTGCCAAAGAAATAAGCACCACGTAAGTTTATATATTTATAAATAAAATATTCAATCAATAAAATTTTATTTTTTAATAATATTATTAGTCAAATACAAACTACTTTATAAAAAAAAATGTCTAAATTTTATGTATATCTGATGAATTCTGATATAAAAAAAGAACAACTTTTTAATATTAGCGATGATAGAAAAGTAAGTGTATTAATAAATAATATTTTATTGTATCGCATTTAAATATAGAATGAAAATGAAGAATTAAAATTTTAAAAATTGTTTCAATAAAAAAATTCAACACAGTGGGAACGCGGCATAGTTGGGTCAAATATTGATGATAACTGATAGTAATTAACATCACTACTATAAAAAATGCTTCGATGCCAATCTGTTAATTTAAATAATAACTTGTAATTTCACAATTTTATTTTAATGATAAATGCTTGTAAAATTATTTGTTTAGTTGAAAATAAAGTAATTTTTTGTAAAAATTGCGATTTTTATTTTACTTCAATTGCCGTTTCCTCATAATATAACAATTTTTAGAATTATTTATTTTTAATTCTGTAGTGTATTGCTAAAGTTTTAATTTTATATAAGTTAAAAGTTGCCATATGGTTTAAATATTTTCAAAAATTGAAAATGTTTAAAAATATTTTTTCTAGATGTATAGGTTTTTCAAATTATTTCTGTATTCACGTTTTTCATTAAATTTTAATGAAAGATAATATAAAAAAAAATCTCATTGTTTCTAGTATGTTGTATTTAAATTTTATTAGAATAAGTATTTAAAAAAATAGTTTTAACAGTTTTGAAATACAGAAAAAAATGTTAGAAAATGCCATCTTTTACGTTAACATAGTTTTGAAATATTTTTAATAATTTTCAAAACAGTGGAGATTTTTTCAAATTTTCAACACTAATAGATTCAATAAGATTAAATTTTGGTTTTTGACGTAAAAACCAACAAAATTAGTTCAGAGATAGCTAAGAATTTTTATGGTCAGACATAAAAAAAACTAATCATGATAAATCCAACATTTTCTCAGCATCAAAGACAAAAATAGTTAATTTATTTTATTGTTACTATTATTATTATACTTAATAAAAACATTATTATTATTTTTTTAAATATTTATATTTTAATTCTCTGTTTAATTAAACGTGTTAAATAGTTATTGTTTTTCAATAAGTGACTACTTTATTAAATTATAGTGTTGTACAATATTTAATGTTTTGATAGCTCATTAGGGTTTATCAAAAAATGTTTAAAAAATCCTTCTTTTTTATCTGCTATTTTAAGAATATTCACAAAAACTAATAAAATAAATTAAGCTGTAAAATTGTTGTATTTATAAAAATATTTCTAGTTACTATCGGTAAAAAGAACTCATTACATAGCAACAAATTGTCTAATAGATAAAGTATATCACCCAGATTATTTGTTTACGGATGATAATTCTTCGTCAGAAGTTTTTAATCAAATTTTTGAAGGAATAATCGAAGGGTAATTATAATTTTTTTATAGAAATAATTAATTAAATTATGTCAAATTTTAGTGCTATAGAAGGTATTGATGCAGTTGTCATTGCATGTGGTTTAGTGTGTTCTGGTAAAACTCACAAAATAATTGGATCATTTCATGATAAACTAGTAATTAATGTCATAAAAAATATATATTTTTTTGACATGATGAAATAAAAATAGTTATAGAAACAAGGCTTTTTAATGAATTTTGTTGACCGTTTATTTGAAACTAATATAAAATATATAGAAACTTGTAACATTACACTAGAAATTAGTTGTATTGAAATAAAAAATGACATATTTTATGATCTTCTCAAATATCCCGTTGAACGGAAATTTAGTATCCAAGTAAGTCCAAAACATATCTTCATAAAATACTCAATACCTTATAATTTATTCAATTTAGTTAATAAAGAACAATGAAGATTTTAATAGTTTTTGAATTTTTTAAATGCATATTAAATTTTAGAGGTTTATTATTTATATACATTTTATAATAGTGTAAACTAATAACTATTAGATCAAAAGGAATTGATTATTGTCAGATGACGTTTCAAGTATAAAATATAGATTAAACAATTTTTTTCATGGATTAAGATTAAGATTAATCAATTTCAAATGTCCCAATAGAAAATGTCAAAGTTAAAAATCAATTCACCAGAAGAAGCTGTTAAAATTTTGTCTAAAGCGTGTTACCGAAGATCTACTACATTGAAAAATAGTTACCAAGCTAGTGATAGTAATTTAATATTCACAATACATATGAGCACAATTAATTACTCAAAATTCAATGACAAAAAATATACCGCAAAAGTGTGTTATTCCACAATTTAATAATCATATTTAAAATTTTTTATATATTTATAGGTTCACATTATTGATACAATGGGCGTTGGTGACATTCCACCAAACGTTGATGCAAAATTGACTTTATTGAGTTTAGACATTTTTTTTTTGAGATTATCTAGTTGGAAAGCAAAAAAAAAGTCCATATATCCTAAAAAAATTAATACAAAGTTACCAAGTGTACTTAGATGCTGTGGAAAATCAATTTTTTTTGGAAATAATATTAGGTTAAATATGACATACCTCACAAGTTCCTACATAGACATTTTTTATTCAAATATAATCTAATATTTTAGACTTTTATGCCACATTCGATCTGATGAGCGACAAGTTACAACCATTCGTTCTGTATTACAATTAGGTGAAACAGTTGCAGGCTTAGGAATATCAAATCCTATTATTAATTCACTACAGGATCCAAACGTATATTTAAACAATTTACAGGCAAATTAAAAATTTGTTCGGTTAATATCTCAGCCGTTTGTTTAAAGGTTATGTTATTTTTAATGTAGACTACAGTTAACAATTTAAAAAACGAGTTAATTTTGATAAATATGATAAATGAATGGAAAAGTAACAATTTAGTATCAAATAATTTTTCTGTACAGTATCCATTATACAACATAGCCGAACAGTTTTTCTTGAAAAATAAACCTATTCCAATTGAGATAGTATGTAAAACTCCAACTGCTTTATTGTTATCTATTTTTAGAGAACAATATCGATACTTGTAAGTTTAATGAAATATAAAA